GCTACACGCACGCCCCCGCGACGCGCACTTTGCTTGAACCACCCACCAGGTGCGAGCCGTTGGATTCGGAATGAATGGCATCCGAGTCGTTCGGACGAAATCCTTGCTCGGCTTGCCGTGCTGACAGCGGCGACATCTGCGGATGTCGTCTCCTTCTTGAAGGTGTTGCCGTGGCCTTTCGACATGTCCTCCTTCGAGCATCGGGGAAACCCTTGGTCCGGTTTTCCAGACCAGACGGCGGCGGCGGCCCGATGTCGTCCCTTCATGAAGATGTCGTCTTGGTTGCTCGTGGTGTCTTCGGTGTTGAAATTGATGATGTTGGACACCCTACTTGGTTTTGGGCTGCTTTTCAAGATGTGGACATCCGAGGCGCAATGTACAACATCGCCGACGCTTCTTCCATGGCTTCTTCCTCATGCCGGTCCGATCCTGCAATCCACTTGCCAACTCTTCTTGGCGCTTCAAGGTGGGGGTACGTTGATTTGCTCCGTCCTGATGGCATGGTCGTGTGACACTGGTGCCCGGCTTTGTTGGTGACGCGGCTTAGCTGCTTTAGGTCTTGTTTCTTTCCCTTTCATGGCTGGAGTTTTAGGCTAGTAGAGTGTGTGCCATGTTGTATCCCTCTTCCTCCCCTCTTGTTACTCTGTTCTCTTCTACCTATCAATGAAAAGATACGCAAGCTTTGTGTATTCGCGAAAAAAAAGAAACTAACGTTAAGTCGTATATATGATCCCTGGGCATGAGTCCCACCGCAGGCTCGGGCTGTCACCGGAGCGGAGCCCGCGCGCCCTCGCCTATCGTTTCCTAGCGAGGTCCGTCCCCTGCGGATAAAGAAAAACGAAGCGCAACCCCTCACAGCCACGCCTTGGTCCGTCTCTCCCCCTCCCACGCCCCTGCTCCTCCTCCGGCCATACTGGCTGGCCGGAGGCACGCCGCGCGGCTGACCTTGGGTGCACGCTTGGACACTCCGCTCGGCGAATGAGGTGACGTACCTAACCAGGCTGGCTCCTTTCCTTGTGTTTCTGCTGCGAGCGGACAGCGCTAGCTAGAATCGCACCACCTCTTGTGTTTTGCTCAATTACGCGGTGGAGGTCACCGGACGGCGAGCTCCGAACGCCCGCGCGCATCTCGCCCTCCACCTCCAGTATGCCGGCCGAAGAATGGATACCAACAACAAATTCAGGGATGCGTGCTCACCTGCCGATAGATAGTAAAACTGTTTAAGCAGATTATTTTGCCAAGTGAGATAGATATGTGTGTTTTCCCTACGTTCCAACCCGCATTACTTCAATATTATTACGTGTACAAGTATAGTAAGCAACACTGAATGTAGAGTAGGCTTGTGTTCTGCATTTTGTGCGCTTCACTTGGTTTCAGAAGTAAGTATCATTCAGAATTATGGCATCTGAATCCCTGACACTACTGGCCAGGTTGAGGAGCATATAGCGGCACCACAATGCTAGAAAACGGCATACAACTGACGCCGGCATCCACTTCCAACAGCACGGGCAAGACAAGAAACAATGGGAAAGAGCTCAACGGATCCGCCTCCACGGTAAGCACCGGATTGCACGTACAAAATAAATAAGAATGACAAGCTGTGACCAGACCTCAGTTCTTGCCTGCACAATTCGAGACATGGGGGGAAAGAAAGAGATCCTTGCGTGAATTTTATGTGATCGAGTGCTGTTTTCCGTTATTTTTGTGATCATATTGCGCCTGTTGATCTCAAACAAGTCAAGGGTTTCGTTCTTTGGGTGCTCCAGGAGGAGGAGAAGCGCCAGGGCAATGGCGGCGACGTGCAGCCGCCGCCGCCGAGCACCTGCACGACGTGCGCCAAGGGGCACACGTGCCAGGCTGTGGTCAGCCGGACGCGGGAGATGCGGAGCCTCATCGACGCCAAGAAGCCTCACCAGGCGCAGGCCCTCTTCGACGACCTCGCCGACGAGGGCCACCGCCCGTCCCTCGTGACCTACACCACCCTGCTCACCGCGGTGACGAACCAGCGCGCGTTCGAGGCGATCCCTTCGCTGCTCGCCGGCATCGACGCAGCCGGGCTGCGGCCGGACGCCATCTTCTTCAACGCCCTCATCAACTCCTTCGTGGAGGCCGGGCGGATGGGCGAGGCCACCAGCACCTTCTGGAAGATGAGCCGCCACCACCCGGGCTGCCGCCCCACCATCAGCACCTTCAACACGCTCATCAAGGGCTTCGGCATCGCCGGCCGCCCCGACGAGGCGCAGCGCGTCTTCGACATGATGGCCGGCGGCGACGGCCACGGCGACGGCGCCGGGGTCGCGTCCACGGTGAGGCCCAACCTGACTACCTACAACATCCTGGTGAAGGCGTGGTGCGACCACCGGAGGCTGGAGGAGGCGTGGGGCGTGGTGGGCAGGATGCGCGCGCGCGGCGTGGAGCCCGACGTCGTCACCTATAACACCGTCGCCAGCGCCTACGCCAAGAACGACGAGACGTGGCGGGCGGAGGAGCTGGTGGTGGAGATGGTGCGCGCCAGGCTGCGCACCAGCGAGCGCACCTGGGGCATCATCGTCGGCGGATACTGCAGGGAGGGCAGGCTGGAGGAGGCGCTCCGCTGCGTCCGCCAGATGAAGGACGCCGGCGTCCTCCCCAACGTCATCGTCTTCAACACCCTCCTCAAGGGCTTCCTCGACGCCAACGACACGGCCGCCGCCGACGACGTACGTACGTGAGCTCAGAGCGAGCTCAGAGCTCACAAAACTCGATTGATTCTTGATCTTATGATGTGCAGGTTCTCGGGCTGATGGAGCAGTTCGGCATCAAGCCGGACATCGTGACGTACAGCCACCAGCTGAACGCCTTCAGCTCGCTGGGTCACATGGCGAAATGCAGCAAGGTGTTCGACAAGATGGTGGAGGCCGGGATCGAGCCGGACCCGCAGGTGTACAGCATCCTCGCCAAGGGCCACGTGCGCGCGCAGCAGCCCGGCAAGGCGGAGGAGCTCCTGGAGCGGATGTGCCGCCTCGGCGTCCGCCCCAACGTCGTCACCTTGACCACCGTCATCAGCGGCTGGTGCAGCGTCGCAGACATGGACAACGCCACCAGGGTGTACAGGAAGATGCGGGACGCCGGCGTGCGCCCCAACCTCAGGACGTTCGAGACGCTCATCTGGGGGTACAGCGAGCAGAAGCAGCCGTGGAAGGCCGAGGAGGTCCTCCGGATGATGCAGGAGGCGGGCCTCAGGCCGAAGCAGAGCACCTACAGCCTCGTCGCCGATGCGTGGAAGGCCGTCGGCCTGGTCAAGAATGCCAACCGCAACCTCGGTTCTCCCGATGACCGTCGTCGCCCCACCCCCAACGCGAGCGATCACGACGAGCCGGACCGCCGTCCCGACGACGACGATGACAAGCTGCGAAGATCCGGAAGAGCCAGTGAGCAGGCAACGGGTGATCCATCATCACATGCCAGTTTCGTGCAGGTGACAAGCGCGCTAGGGACAGGCAGGGCTGGAGACTTTGCATCATCGGCGCCATCGTCGTCATCGCCGTGGCGATCGTGTCAGCTCCGACTGCGAGCTTCGGGGTTTTGCAGGAACCAAAGGCAGAAGCAGGGTGGGATGTACAGTCACAGCATCAGCTCAATCAAGATGGTCTTCCTCAGCTAAGAGGCGGCCATTGTTTGCTGTTCAGAACATGTACACTACCTGTAAAACCCAATTCTTCCCCAATCTCCTGACCGTAGATGCTGGTCATTTTTGTATGATTCTGCACACACATTGGTCTTCGATTCAGAAGTCTCACCATTCCACAGAGCAAACTCCCCTCAAACAGCATGTGTGATCTATGATACCAACTGAATGCTATGCTCTCAATCAAACACTGATGCTGAAGAATTATTAATCAGATGGTTCCTATGTCATGAACATCACAACAATATCTACACGATCACAACCATTATAGTACTTACTTATTTAAACTAATAACATCTCAAGCAATTGATCACCAAATCAAGAGTAGCTGCAAGCAGTCTGGGCGATCATGATGGGCTTGTCGGTAAGAGAGCTCACAAGAACCGGGCATCGCACACGCTTGGCGTGTGTCACCCTGACAAGCCTGCCGATGACATACCCTCTCGTCCTCACCGCCAAGTCCACGGTGAGCGGCACGCCGTCGGTGTTGGTGAGGACAAAGGTAGCCCCGGCTCCGTAGAGCGGCGTCTTCTCGCCGTGCAGGGTCACCGATGCGACGTGCCGGCTCTTCTTCGGCTGGTAGAACTTCTCCAACTGTAGAGCAGCAGCAGGAGGAGGCATTTAGCTAGCAGAATTCTGATGGAAATGGGTATTGCCTGATGCTTTCTGGGGTGCTAATAAACACTACCTGACCGCTGGCGATGGGTATCTGTGAATAGTAGAGCTGGATGGAGGTGGAAGAAACATGGATGCCGGACATGGTGGAGGGGTTGTGGACGTCTATCTCCAGCGAGCAGTTCATTGTGACGAACTTGGTCGGCACTCCGGTGCCGTCCGTCCCTTCGCCGGCGTAGAAATTCTCCACTCTCAAGCTCTGCACAGAACCAACCAAATTCTAAGGTGTTACTGTACGAGAGAGGGATACTGAATTTAAGGTGACGGAGCAGTCAAATGTACAACCTTGACGAGGACGCTGGGTTTGTCACGGCGGGCGGCGCCCCAGACGACGAGGCAGACGAGGGTGAAGGCCAGGACCAGAACCGAGAACCAGAAGGCGGCGACGCAGCTCCTGGAGAGCTCCCGCTCCTGCTCCACGCTGGCGTCCTCGGCGTCCTCCTCGTCAATCACGTCCACCTCGTGCCACCCCTTGCCGTGGCCGTGGGGGCGCTTCCGGTTGGCGGCGGCCCTGCCGCCGCCGGTGAGGTTCCCGGAGAAGCGGCTGGCGGAGGAGGCCCTGGAGTGCGGGCCAATGGAGGAGTGGTGCGACGGGGAGTCGAGGGGGCTGTTGTACACGGGCGTGGCCTGCGTGGACGACGACTTGTCGCCGTCGTCCCGCGAGTCGCGCGACGGGCTGACCACGTAGTACGCCGCCCGCTTCGGGGACCGCGACGGCGACGTGGTCGCCAGGCTCGTCACGTCCGAGTCCGACGTCGTGTGCTTCATCGTCCCTTCGCGCGACGATGCCACCAGGCAGGCTCGCCGGCCGTTCGGGTGTGAGGCGAGGATTTGATTTCTTGGAGAAGCTCGCTGGCCTGAAACGCTTGCGGAGCAATGAGATCTTGGAGGGCAATAATCATCTGAAGATTGCAAGTTTGAGGTAGTACGCTTATATGGGAAGAAAAGGGAAAACGTGAACGCTTATGGTAAGAATTGCAATAATTGAAGGCAAAATTTTGACGCTATAAGTGAAGAGAAATTAAGAGTGCACATTGATTGAGAGCGGACCAAAATATAATCTTAGCACTAGTAGACCAGAATTGTTTGGGGATTATTAATAACCCAGCACATCGATGAAATCATGAACCCGCGACAATTGCGTCAGCGTGTCACCAAAGAAGAAAGAAGCGAATGGATCAATGCTGAATGGACCAACTTCATTGTAGCGCTAGCGCACGAATCAAATCCTTCGGGTATTCGATTTCCGATCACGATCCCACCCGCGGCCGAATCGCCGGAGAAGTGTTTTCCTGAAAGAAGAAACGACACGCGGACAGGATATATCGATGATCTTCTTCTCATGCATGATCTGACTTCCGCCCCCGCGAGAAGAAGAAGAAAGCGGGAGGAGGAAGGAGAAGAAGAAGAAGAAACAGCCGGTACGGTCTTCGCTTGGACGAGGAATGATGATCGAATTGTTCGAATCCTTGTCCTCCAAGAAGGAACGGGATGAGGCGCCTGAAGAAACAAGAGGAGGGGAGAGAGAAAGGGATTGGTGGGAGCACTCGCCTGTTCTTCGCCCACGCAGAAGCCGATGGAAGCGGGCGGCGCGCGGAGGGAGGCTGCAGTGACGCGCGAGGAGCTCGGGCTGGGGCTCGAAACTGCTCGTCTAGTGGCGCCGCGTGCTCCTGCATGCTTTGCTCCCCCTTGACGCATGCAGCTGTCGAGGGAGGGAACGCTGCTTGCTTGACCAGGCGCCCTTACACGTGGGCCCCACCCAGGGCGCGGGGCCCGCCTGTCAGACCCGAAGCGTGGAAGACAGCTGCTCCTCCTATCTTTTCCTCTCTAGACTAGAAGACGGTGATATCAGCTGGATACGAAGCGGTCGATCGAGCGGTCCGCCAAGCAAACTGCAGACGGACGGTCAAGGAAACGTGCGGGTTCGCCGAGCCCGAGCAGCAGCGTCCACGTCTCGCCGCCAACATACACGGTACACCTACACATACCCTAGTACAGTATAGCAGAGAAGAAAACCATGTCATGTACCGCCGCTCAAGGATCAATGGATGTACGTACGTACGTATGTTCTAGGCTCTCGCGACGTGCCCAACCGCCCAGTCGGTCCATCAGCCGCGGCTACATCTTAATAATGGATCCATCCTTCGTGCAGTGCAGTCCATCACGCATTCACGCGTGTCGCCCGGTAGGGGATCGCGACCTGTCAAAGGATCGGACGGTGCAGACCGGACACCTCAGTGAGGATACCACAGTGCTGCCGGATCCTAAAATGTGAAACGGGTACTCCTCACTCGGCCAATCGTCCACTATCCCGTGCGTGCGCGTTCAATGCTCCCGGCCATGATGATACGCTGCAGCTGTGCTGCATTCCATCGACCAAGGAAACCGGGCATGCTATACATAGCATGCCATCGCCATCGGCATCGACACAAGATAACCACTCAAGCCCGAATACATGGCATCGGCATCGGCATCGGCATCGGCATCCCAGTAAGAAATCAAACTTATTGACCTTTCTTTCTCGTCGAATGTTTACCCATCGAAAATAACACGTTTCAATCTGATCCTGAAACAGAAAATATCTTTGTAGTGCTTCTTCATATACAACACACCGTGCCCTATCATGATCATCATCAGACAACCGGAGTCAGCAGCGGCTTCTTCAGAACATGCGCCTCCAGGTTGCCCAGGACAAGGTCCGCCATGGCCTGGCGCGTCTCGTGCGTCCCGCTCCCCACGTGTGGCACCAGGACGACGTTGTCGAGCGCGAACAGCGCCTCAGGCACGTTGGGCTCGTCCTCGAACACGTCGAGGCCTGCCCCGCCGAGGCGCCCCTCGACGAGCGCCGAGACCAGCTCGGGCTCGTCGACGTGAGGGCCGCGCCCGATGTTTATGAGCACGCCCTTGGGCCCCAGCACCTCGATCACCTCGCGGTTGACGATGTGCCGGGTCTGCTCATTCAGCGGACAAGCCACCACCAGGATGTCGCTGTTTGCCGCCAGTTCGACCACGCTCGGGTAATAGGTGTAGTTGGGGTAGTCTTTCTTTGTTCTCTGGTAGTAGTTGACTGGGCAATCAAAGGCCTCCACTCGGGTGGCAATGGCAAGCCCTATCCTGCCCAGCCCGATGATGCCCACTCTTTTGCCACTGAACTGCAAAAAGATAAACAAAATCTATGAGAAAAACGAGCCACAACTGTTCTATCTGCGTAAAAAACGAAATATAAGAAAGAAAGGATCCAACGCGAAATGCCGAGATTGCATGCCCCGACCACACACAAAGGTACCAGCAAGTAAAGAGGGAATATATGGAACTGTAAACTTTAGAAACTGGTAATCTTATTTATGATGGTTGTTGATTGCATAACAGCCAAACATTGATGTCTTTCAAAAACAATAACCCGCCAGATAATTAAACTAGACATAAAAAAAAAACTCAAGAGTTTGGATTACAAACTGCTAACATCTGGGCATCCCAGTAACAATCAGATGACTGGGGTGAGTAAGGGCTTATTAAGAGCATGTGCCTCTAAATTCTTGAGAACCAGATCAGCCATTGCCTTGCATGTTTCTTCTGTATCACTTCCTACATGAGGGACCAAAACAACATTATCTAAGCTGAAAAGTTGCTCTGGAACAAAGGGCTCATGCTCAAACACATCAAGGCCTGCTGCTCCAAGGCGTTTCTCAAGAAGAGCAGACACAAGCTCAGGTTCATCCACATGTGCTCCACGCCCAATGTTTATGAGCACACCATCTCGTCCTAGTGCATCCACGACCTTACGATTAACAATGTGATGGGTCTCGGCATTGAGCGAACATGCTACAATAAGCACGTCACAATTGGCTGCCAGGTCTACAACATTTGTAAAGAACTTGTAGTTTGGAAATGGCTTCTCTGATCTTGAATGATAACTGATTGAGCAACCAAATGCTTCAGCTCTTTTTGCTATGGCTAAGCCTATCCTGCCAAGCCCAAGAATGGCAACTCTTTTACCACTGAACTGCAGAAAAGTAACGAGAATCGGTTATCTTTTGTTCTTTGGGGAAACCAAATCTACTATTAGGATCACATGCATCCCCAACCTTTATATCTACCACAAAACAATAGCCAGCATCGTCAGCTATTTCATGCTTTCATAGCACAGTCGTTAGGCTGATATCTCATCATTATAAGCAGCAGCAGATCAATCTTGCAAAGCACATTCTTTCCTTGAGATAGCTGCATCTGAACTCTTTTGTTTTTTCAAATGCAAGTGCTACCCCCAGCCTCCACATCCATTGATGCGCGCAGCCAAAAGTGGACCTGAATGTGTTGCATTGTTCAACAGGATTCCACTCACACTGAAGATGTCCTTCAATGTTTTAAGGGAGCAGGAAAATGGCACGGTGACAGGAGCATATTGCACCATACAGTTCATGAAAAGTTCTGGTGGGTATTATCATGGAACCCTTGGTTGGTATGATGCATAAACTACTTACTTAGCCATAAAACAATGGAGAACATGACAAAACGTGTTGCTATCAAGAATTACGAGTTGACGGCTATCAAGAATTACGAGTCGAGCCGAGGTTGAGACTCGTAGACTAATCATGACTAGTCTAGGCTAATGCAGGACTAGTCCACATGGTACTGTAGTACTCAACTTACAGTACTCTAGTACTAACACCTAGTACAGTATTACAACAAAAATTGAATGCATGGGAAGTGGACGAAGAACCTGAGGCTCTGCCAATTGTAACAGCTATTTCCTCAGGAAGTGGATGAAGTAATCAACTGCTCACTTATCCCTCCCAAATTCCCCTAAAAAAACTTATCCCTCCCAAATTGAGTCGATCGACTCAAAAGCCTAGACTAGTCTGGACCAGTCGCTCCACCGCTCAACTCAACAAGCTAGTCTACATGAAGAAGCTAGTCGACAATCAAATTGAGACTACTAGACTAGTCTCGTGACAAGTCATGAGACTCATCATCCATGGTTGTTATAAGAATCCTATTTTTGCTACTATGAAACAATGGTCAGGGAGAAACAAAAATCATGGTTTCCAACGTTTTCTGATCATCCACCAGCCTTGGTATTAATACGATTCAATATGGAGCTATGCGACAACATAAAACCTCCAGAGCCATGTGAATATGTCAAAAGAAGAACAAAAAAAAAACCTAACCCAGTAAGAAGTTGATATTAAAGAAGAGAAGATAGGAACCACATCACCATATGCGAGCCATCCTAAATCACAATGCTCACTAGATTTCTAGAAAAATCCCTGTGGCTACAGCACTATAACTATGTCTCTAAATCTTATATTTCAGTTTTCAGACACCAGCATACAGCTTGAATCAGCAGTGAAGAAGGAAAACGTTTTACAGTCAGGTAATCTACATTTTGATCAAACAGGATGCACTTCACTGCCGAAACAAATCCATCAGGGCTAAGTAGTTTATTAAGAGACTGTCATAGATTGCAACCTAAGCTACTGCAAATGCCTTCGAACCACTGCTTACTCAAATGATACGACTCGTCTCTCAAAGAAAAAAAAAGATACGACTCACATGACATAAACTAGGATAGTCGCAACCTACGCTACTGCAAATGCTTTCAGACCACTGCATCCCCACTGATATGACACACATGGCATAAAAGAGAGAGTCAAATGTACTAAGTTACTAACTACCTACAAGATTTTTTTTTTTTTGAACAATCAACGGGGGGCGATCGCCCGCCTGAACATAATTTATTTAATCAAAGGACATGGGTCGGTCAGTACATAGCTCCGCAGAGCTCAATGAGCGGGATAAAGTGGGGGGCTAAGGGTTAGCTACAGACAGCTACGCACCACCGGAGCAACGGGTTACAATCCACACGGGAGGGGGCCCGGACCACCCATAACACAAGATGCTCCTGGATCAAACGCCGCAAGTCAAGGTCAGAGGTATGGATGTTATCGAACACCATCCGGTTCCTGGTCTTCCAGATGACCCAAAGGACACAACACATCGTCGTGCTGAGGAGAGGAGGGATTAGGGAGGCGTGACATGTAGAGAATAACTGCCAAACACTTTCGACACTGCTATCCATGAGTACACTAGAATGACCTACAAGATTTTAGGAAGATAACCAATGATGTGCCAAAAAAACCTGACAAGGATCCAATAAAGTTCAACTGTTTCTCCTTTCTACCACCTAGATTTTATTCTCCAATTTAACCTACTCCCTCCGTCCAGAAATACTTGTCGGAGGAATGGATGTATCTAGATGTATTTTAGCTCTAGATACATCCATTTTTATGCATTTCTACGACAAATATTTTCGGACGGAGGGAGTATTTTCCTTCCGTGCATTCATGTTCCCTGAATGCCCACTGCTATGCAACCTATGTTATATCTAGTTCATTTTCCAACAAAGTTATTGCCATATTCGTTTTGACTGAAACGATAACAAATGTACACAGTTTGCGATTAAACTAAAGATAAAAGTATCGTGAAACAACGTTAGTGGGCAATAAATCAATTATAGCTAAGAACGCACTGGACTGAAAACTATAAACGGAAGTCAACTGGCAAGCATCGGAAACCAACCCGCGCGGTGAGTGTGTAGTCCCCCTTGGCCTTCCATAGGCCGGCGCGCACGTAGCGGTCGGCCTGCGGGATCTTCCTCAGCGCGGCGATGGCGAGGCCGACGGCGAGGTCGGCGACGTCGTCGGTGAGGACGTCGGGGGTGTTGGTGACGCGGATCCCGCGCTCGCGGCACTTGGGGAGGTCGACGCGGTCGATCCCCACAGAGAAGGAGGCGACGATCTCGAGCGACGGCAGCGCGTCGATGAGCGCGGCGTCGGCGTTGTAGCCGGCGTTGCCGACGACGGCGCGGATGGCGGAGGCGTTGGCGCGGAGGAACTCGGCGCGGCCGTCGGGAGGGGAGTCCCAGAAGCGGAAGAGGCGGAAGCGGCGGTCGAGCTCCTGCTCCAGGTAGGCGTTCATGGGGTGCAGCAGCAGCACGCCCAGGGACTCCATCGCCATGGCCGCCGGGGGCACCGAGGGCGGCAGCGGCTGGCTGTTGTGTGGTGGTGGGTGGGCTGCTCCGCGGTGGCTACTGGTGGGGAAATGCTGATGCTCGACGCCGGCCTTGTTTGCTAGCGTCTATCCTCTATGGGCCGCAGGTTGCAATCGAGTCGGACAAGGACGGGCGGCCTACTACTGAGTTCGATTTCTCAAAAAAAAAAAAAAAAACTACTGAGTTCGAGGGATGGTTGAGTCAGCCAACCCTAATTCTCAAGGTAGATACTGTATGTTTTTCTTTGTTTTTACCCCTAAATAAAGAAGTAGATATAGTTCAAAAGAAGAAGATAGATATGATTTTTTTAGATCGGATTTTCTAGGGTTTATGTCGCTCTAGCGGATCCCTTATCTAACATAGCCTTGACCTCATCCCCGCGTTCCTTGTGTCCACCTGCTCTCGGCTGGTTAAGAAAACAAGAAGAAAAGGAAGGGGTTTGGCCTTCAAAATATACAAGGTTCTGTTCTCTAGGCTGTAAAAAAATCACTCACGAAGTCTCAAATAAACTCACAACAATTCTGCAGGATTAGAGAGTCCATTTACAGATACAACATGAATTTATTTGCTCTGCAAAAGGAACTGGCCCGAAAGTGACAGAGAACAATCCTTTGGTACTACCGGTATCGTCCAAAATTCGAATGGTCGAAATTCAGAAAGGAAACACATGCACCCGAAAGTGCACGACATTCGGAGGTACCGTGCAAAGATCCAAATACCATAGCTCAAATGTACCTGGAGGTACCATCCATATTGATATTATTACGTAACAATATGCCGCGGAGATGAGCATAGAAACTTATCTTTAAGTACCCACTCTCAAGTGATTAATACTCATGACTATAAAAAGATGTAGTATTTGACAGTAAATTAAGAAATATGTAACTAAAGGATGATATCTACCATAGTACTAAAACATAGTACATTATCTTCAAAGTTAGACATGATCGGGCCACATCTCTTTGCCATTGCCAAGAGAAGATAAACACTCATCTCATTTTCTCTCCTCGTCTTACATGAATAAAAAGTTGCCGTGTTGTCGTGATGTTTATAGCAGATAATCAGTGGGAGAAATCGCCTGTCACAAGTATTGCAAAATAAACTATGAGGACATCTTGCTATGAAGTTATGCACAGATTACAGTAGTTTCTTAACCAAGGCAAAGCCCCCATCAGGAAAAACAAACGTGACCAACTCTTAAAGAAAAAGCAACTGAAAGCACGAGCTGTGCCAATTATGTACAGACTACAGCTAAATCTCCACGACAGGGCAAGAACCTCTCCTACTTCCCATCTTTCTCTGGTCAGTTTACCAGCATTTCCAAAGCAACCTCCTCAATGAGCAAGGACAGAACGTCCTCCCCGGCGTCCCTTACCCAGCACTCCGTTTCCTCCATGCAGATCCAATCCTGCCACCCCATGTCCCACGCGCTGTTGATCGACGGGTCCGTGCATCCAAGATCCCTCTCCAGCTTCATGGACATACTGTCTTTGGTGCCACTGCCATGGTCGTCTTTGTCGTCAGTGTAGCTCTTCAGCTTTCGGGTCCCATCGCTGATATCACCTAGCAATGCCTCGAGGGAGAAGTATGGTGTTGCTCCGCATTTCTGGGTCCTGAATCCGGTGTAATACAGGCTATTCTGCTGACGATGTTTTCGTTCCAGTTGCTCTATTGCTATGTCTGTGTAGAGTTCACGATCTCCCATTTCAGCCTTGCTGGTATCTTTGTATTGCTCGATCAGATGGTCATAATCATATGAGTTAATGCCTATGAGTTGTGCTGCTTGGTTAACGAATGACTTGTTGCTTAGGAGAAGCAAACTCATCTCGTCTTTTATTTCAACTTCCTTTTTTGGTGTTCTGTTTGTTGATGGGCTGCTTTGGCTGGAAATCGGTGAAGCTTCACTGGACCTGCTTAAATCTTCCTGAGTGTCTGCCATGAAAAGGAATTGTTAGTGTTAGAACTTCTTCTTTTTTGCGAGGGAGAGCATCTAGGATGTGCAAGTGATGATATGCAATTAATTCTTCTCCCATCAAGAAATTTTAATATGCAACCCACGAACAAAACCATGGTACTCCCTTTGTCGCTGCATATAGGCCATCCTAGAAACCATGCAGCCAAATATTCTTAAATTTACCATAAAATTGTAAGATTGTCTACCTGAATTCAGTATCACCAAAATTGCTAATTGCTATGTGAAACTTATTCTCAAAACCATATAATATTATAAATCAGCAGTAGATGTAGTGCTTTGTGAACCGTTTCATTGTAAACCCAAACCAAGGCACCTAGAAGTAAATTGCAATTCCTTTCTGGCCAGTTTATTCACATATCAGCAGTAGATTGGAGTTAACTTGGGTGTCATTATTACTTTAGGCCATTTGGGAACAGTGGTATAAACAGAAGCAATGAAAATGCTTTTAGAAGAACAAAAGGTTTGGTGATTATTACCATCGATGGAAGGTTCTGTGTCCCAATCAGCGCTCTGGCAGCTTTCATCACTAGGTGTCGCACTATGTTCTGTGGATGGACAATCAGTTTGGATGAACTCTCTGTGCACCTCATAGGCCTGCATTGTGAGCAAAAAAGGTCCGAGGACATAAGTGTTTGAACCAACCATTTCATTCAAGGTACTTCTGATTTAACTTAAACGCCTAAAATCAAATATTTGAATAGCTTTCAAATGATACTTATTGTTATGAATCTGAAGATTTCGATTTCAAAAGGTTCTCGCTTTGTGGTCATTCTTTTACCAACTTCAAAGCAGTTTCGTGTCTCAAATAGCATGAAAGATTTTCAGGCTATGCTATATAGTGAAGGATGCTTACCACAATGTCATCAATAATTGAGTTGTTCACATTTCTACTTGACACTATTTTCTCTCTGGAACTACCAGGTGTTCTTCGTAAGACCGGCTTCATTGTACGGCATGTTGAAGGATTGCTACTTGATGCAACCGATTTCTTCTCAGTCTTCTTCACTAGTTTAGCTTTAGTGTGAGATGCTGATGCTGCCTTAGCCTTCACATCCTTCCTCCTTTCTCCCTTCCTATCAGCCAAATGATATTTCTGTTTATTGCTGCTTCTACTGTTGATCTCAATTTTTTGTTCTATGTGCTGCTTTCGGGTTATATGAGATACAACCTTCACATCCTTGGGGGTTCTGGTTTGAGCTTGGCCCATCCTTTGTTCTCTTTGGATTGATTTCACCGAGCCAACTTCAGTAGCCGCTGAGGTATCTTGCGAAGGAAGGGTGTGCTCATGAAAATAAGGAAAATCCATCTGAACATTGTGCTGCTGGACCTTGCGCTCATCAGAATTCATGGTATTTAAAAGCCTCTTGACTTGGGTTGTCTTCATCATTTCCTGCCCTGCCTTCCCCTTACGTTGCAAGTCCTTTCCTAACGACTGTCTTGGTAGCTTTTCTGCTGGTAGTGGTTTTGACTTAGGCATGTCAATATCAAACTGCGCCCTTGGTGAAGTTACTGTCTTCAGTGTCTTATCTTTCTTGGCGGTATTTCCCTTGTGTGGGGGCAAACCTTCAAGGCCCATGAGCCTTGCTACCAAACTCGGGGTTTTATTTGTTGGTACCAAACTTGGGGTTTTGGACTTGTCAGGTTGCACAGGTGGACACGATAATGATCTTGGCACCACCTTCTTCTGCTTAGTAGACTTGGATACGGCGGTATTGTTTGGCGTGCTCTGTGATGACTGACTCAAGGAGGCCTGCTGCTCACCATTGGAGGACACTGACAAGAGTTTCACCCTGTAAAGGCTGTCCTTGATCACTCTCTTCAGCTCGTCGGTAGAATTCCTTAGTTGCCCATCGAATCTACAGCTGACACTTCCAGGGACCAGCTTCTTGGCGGTTGATGCTTCGAAGAGTGCTTCATGGATTCCGGTCACGTCAAATGATTCCTCGCCATTCCCTGGCCTTCTCTGCTTAGTCGATTGCCGCATGCTCTGTGACACTGTTTGGAACTTCTCAAGCATCACAAGGGAGTCCTGGAGGTCCATAGCACCCCTAAGGAGGTCCTCGGCAAAATGCCTCGAGAGTGTGGAACCCATCACGTAATCTCTTTGCGATAAGATGGACCTCTCCTCCCGGTTGATTTGCGAGGGGCGCCAATCCTGGCTTTGGCAGCTTCGGCAGACTGTGGGTCGTAGTGTGACAACATAAGGGGCATCACACTGAGTCCTTTCAGGATAGCCGCCATCTTTGCTCCTGGAGCTGGAGGGATGACTCTTTGAAAGGGACCTGCAAACCACTGATCTGAAACTGTCTTGAGGCATCTTGTTCTTCTGAAAAAAGAAAAAACAGAGGGACGAATAAGCATACTAAAATGGTCAGACGATATATCATACACAAATTCAAGTGAGCAAACATAACTTCCTGGTCAAAACAAAGAAAGAAGGCTGCTTACATTATATATTTTTATTCTTCCCTATAACATAATTAAAGAAGTTATTTTCCTTTAAGAGTCGATGTCTGTCTTGAGTTCTTGACTCTGGACTCAAGATCCTGGATAGGAACAAAGAGGAACCTATGAATCAGTACAACTCAGCAGAAAGCTATTCGTACCACTCTACAGATGGAAAGAAACATACAAAAAATTAGGAGTTTTTGGCTGTATGTATAGACTATGATATCTTCCAAGTTTCTGGCTTTTGCGAGGGAATAGCGACTGCTGACTAATTAAATAGCCAAGGACAAGCAGTTGAAGAAATTGGATACAGAAGAAAGCTATGGAGGGGCTTTTCTCTATTTTGCCCACGGAAAATCTGCGGCTTGACCAGCCACCTGGCCTTCACCGGCGCTCAAATTTCACAGGCATCATGTCAGCAACAGGTAATTCATCACAGGCAGTGCCCTGCTTTCCACCCACATGAAAGTAAATAAATAAATAAAAAGGACAAAAGGAGATGGAGGTGGCCAGGAGGTGGTGGTTGGAATAAAAAGGTCATTTGATCCCTTAACTGCCCTGAGGTCAAATTGAACAAATCGTAAACCCTAGCAAACAGTTAAAATAACCACCGAATTCCCCTATCCATATGAGGATGTTTCTCAAATAGCACAGAAATACTCTACTACTACCAGCTAACAACCCAAAAAACTGCCTAAGAAATCGCAACAAAGCAGCACATTTCTTCAACTCTCAGGCCAAGAAGAATGTGTGGCAGAGCCTAGAGCGGGCCAGGCGAAAGGATTTACCAGGACACTTGCAGGGGAAAAAACGAGAAAGAAGAAGGGCCAGGAACCCTAGAGTTCTTGGGGCGCCATCCTCCGCATTCTACCACAA